GCCTCCTAGCAGCCATGTCCCTCTGCCTGGGATGGGAGCAGAGACGAGCAGGGCGGACAAGATATAACAGTGAGGCAGCCAGGTGCAGACAGACAGCTGGGTGAACCCTGCAAAAGCAGCAGCGGGGAGAGCCCAGGTGCACCCTGCCGATAGCAGGCCAGGACAGCCCAGCCCAGCCCAGCCCCGTACAGACAGCTCCTGGGCAGGGGTAGAGGGTCAGGGTCTACCTTGTATGCAACTCGAGCAGGGCATTTCTTCCCCAGCCCCAGAGGTGGGGACATGTGTTTCAGCATTTCAAACATGTCATTGTAACTGATGCGCCCACTGGAAACCCGTCCCAGAAAGGCCCAGGCACAGTGGGGTGGTCCACAGGACGAGGCAGGCAGCAGAGGGGCACAGCGGGGCAGGGGCAGGGAGGAAGCAGACAAAAAAACACATCTAGTTAATCCAAGTGCCGGGTGACACCCCAAAATCAAGAGAAGTCAAATGAGGGGTTTCTCTGCTTGACTTGACCCCGTGGCCCCCACCCCCGAGCCTCATCTCCTCACTCCAGCCCCACGCAGGGCAGCGGGCGGGGGTGACGTCTGAGCTAATGAACATGGAGGGGGAGGAAGGGCTGCATCGGGGCGGCTTTGGGTTGTCAATTTCTGATTTTACTTTTAGAACCACAGGTAAGGCCAAATCAGAAGAGAGCTGTTTCACCATGAGGGAAGAGCTGGCCGATTGTGGAGACAGGGCTGTGGCTAAGACCACAGCAGCAACACCAGCTGTCTGAACAGTCAGATTTGCTTCCAAGTGAGGACAGAGGCCAAAGTGGAGAAGAGTCTACAACAGACCAGAAAACCAGAGAGGGATCTTCGAAGCTCTAGAGCCAAACTTGACCATGGGGCAAGTCCTGCTCCAGGCCCAGAGACGCCCGAGGCGGCCAGGGCAGGGCTGCTGCTGGGGTCAGGGCTGGGAGGGAAGAGACCGCGGGGAGGGGAGGCGCTGGGCGGGTGTGACCCTGGCCACTCTTGTGCTGCCTGACCACTCAGGTGGAGACCAACAGGCAAGGTGAGCCTCCTGGAGGGCCTGGACCCTGAGCTGGACTCAGGAGGCACCTGGGAGCTGCTGGCGAGTCTTCCCCAGGCTTGGGGCCTCCCTCAGCTCTGGAAGCACCTGCCTAAGGGCTTGGGGTCCCAGAGATACAGCAAGTTCAGGCTCAGCCTTTTCCTAGCAAGCAGATCTGCCCAGAACCTGCCCTCCTCCCACAGTTTCAGACCACAGGGCTCCTCTGCTGGGTAGAATGATCAGTCCGGAGGTGACACAAGACAGCTTGTCTTTGGGCCCCGCTCGCCTCTGTTCTCTCTTCCCTCAGGGACCTGAAAAGCCTCTCCGACCAAGCGGGGCCACTGCTCCTGTTTTACTTGCACCACACTCCCCTTCTCTGGTCCTCAACCTCTGGCCTTTCTGACCATCAGCCTACCCACAAGAGCCTGTAGGAAGAACTGGGTCAGATGGCTGCTTCTGTGGTGCACACTGGACCTGGCCCCTAGCACCCAACCGGTGGGCTGGTCTGGGCCAACACAACCCAGCCAGAAGCTCTGTGTGCTGTCTCTGAAGGCTGCCTGCCCCAGCCAGATGGAGGGGTCGGAGAGATTAGACAGGGAACCAAAGCATCTAGGAGGCCGGAGTGCGGGGCAGGGCAGGACAGGAGGAAAGAGGTGAGGTGCTGTCATTCCCAAACCAGGCAGGGAGTGTGTGCTGTGTTTGCGGTTCGGGCAGGGAAGTATGTTGGATGGAGGCTCTGAAGTTGCAAACCTTGTAGGCCAACCTACGAGGGCAGTTCTTCCCTAAGCCAACGGGTGGCGCAATACAACGCAACAAACTGTACATATCCTTATAATGAATCCGGCAACTGGAAAGGAAATGTCACAGGTTATGGCAACAAAGGCATGATGGAGCCC